TTTCAGAGTACTTTGATGCAGCGGTTCACACGCTTTGGATCCGGGCTTACTCAAATTCTCTCCACGAAATTATTTCCGTAATTTTGACTGTTTTGAAAGGTGAAGACCTACATAATTTAAAGTGCAGTGCAGTCAAACATACTTCTACAGATGCCCTAGGATAATCTTGTCTCTAAATCAAGTCTGTATCAGCATTACGTGAGCTGTATTGGTACTGAATGATAATGCTTCATAGTTATTACTGATACTCTAAAACAACGGACTTTGTGCTTGATACTTATAAGTGCGTATCAACTAATAACGTAGCCATAAATGGAGGTCTAGTGGGTCACTTAGAAGTGATTAAATAGGTTCACACACCTCAAGAGGCTGTTTGGGCTCTTTGTTCGAAAAGATAGTGCATTCTTGCAAATTAGGTAAGGAATTGTTTGATTAGAAATGAACGAACCGCATAAATGGTCTGTTTAGCTTATGGATCAACAATGTGTAGCCGACATTCACTGTCGTCAGGAAAGGTCGTCAGATGCAAACAGTTTACTTGGAGGGTCGCAATACTTATTGGTAGTTTTTTAAAAGCCAGAGTTACTGCCTGTGTTAAAGCGGCCTTTTTACTTCATCGGCTTAACAACCATGACCTGTGATTACTCGTCTGAAGTTAGCCTGGCCTTCTTTTTAGCGTCCTTGACTGTAGCCGGTAGTAAATCCCTGATTTTCTCTAAAACGTCTGGTAGTTCTAAATCAGGCGTTCGTTTCTTAAGCTTCACAGCAAGCAAAAATTTTCAGTTGATTGACAGATTTCCATGAATTAGTGAGAAAATCTTTTCTGTTAGTCTGATAATAAATGGTTTCTGCTTTGGATGCTTTGCTTATCCTCTTGAAGAGACAAATTTACAATTTTCATGGGCATCACTCCTGTCTAAGCACACTTTTGTTGACCCTGGCCCACACTAATGTATAAATAAGGCTAGAAACAGGGAGAAAATGTGATGAACCACTCGAATTAGAGTGCGCAAGAAGAGTAGACAAACTCCACTGGTTCCCCTAGTTGCATAATTCTGAGCAAAAACGTCTGTTTTAAAGTGTGTGTCTCTAAATCAAGAATTTATGAGATCAGTACCTACAGTATCTACCCACACATGGGTTTAATCAATACCGAATACCTCACAGTTAATTATTAGGCTGTAAGAATTAACTGAGTGATATGCAGGATAATCCAGCAAGGGATGTAGGCGCTTACAACCTAATCTTATAACAAATTTGAGAAATGCCACTTGTTTTAGGCAGCATCCCTGGAGCAATATCATGAAAATGCTGTTTTCTCTGATGGATACTAGGAACATATGAAGGATGGAGTTCGATGAACACGAGAAAGCGGCCTTTATTGTACAGTAAACCTGGACATTATTTCATGGAGATATGTGGAACAGGTCACAGGTTTAGCCTTAATTTCTAGAAATGGCACGGTGAAGAGGTGATGATTGTTATCTTTGCACAAGGGATATATTGTGACTGGACTAAAACCGCTCACTGATGAGAATTAATTCAGTAAGATGTTGGAACATTATTCGAAATTTTAAGGTTCAACAATGTTTTTATTTTTTATTTTAGTGCATCAACTTACTTTGGTCTGTATGTATGCGCCAGATAACCGATAAGGGATACTTTGCCCTAAAACGCTGGAATGAAGCGGACGAAAGCATTCTACACGAAAGATAAACTGTTACCTTTGGCGTTGAACAAAATTCCGGAATATGATCATCCTGTAAAAGCAACTGTTACCTTGGCGTTGAACAAAATTCCGGAATATGATCATCCTGTAAAAGCAAATTGCAATACAGTCGTAAAAAGTCCGTCAGACAAAGTGAAGTTTCTGCCTCAATAAGTTTATTCTTCAAAATTTCGGTATTTGTTTCTCAAGAGTGTTGTTTAGGACAAGTAAGTTCCTTGTTGATTCTTTTCCTCCGTACTCATTATTTGGCTTGTGGTATTAAGCGTACATGTGAAAACGTCCCTTCTATGTCTGCAGATAAAAACATTTCACTTCGTTTTGGACTCCATAAAATTGCCTTCTCTGCAAATATAGATATTTCTACAAGTGTACCTACCTACGGTTTTCACAGTAAGAAATTGATTGTCTTATATCAGTGAAAGCTGACGACATCGTCAAAATACTAGTTGTTGAACTCAGTTCGGTGTTACATCTGGGCGGATTATATTTACATAAGTGAGTAGGCAACACTCCGGAAGTCTTGAATATCATCTTAAACAGCGAGCAAGCATCCCAGTCAGTTGACCTCAACATTCTGGATTCAAGTTTGCACACAACACTGGGTCTGTTTTGGTCTATCAAAACGATCGATTTGCCAGGACGCCCACTGGCCAAACGAACCAAACTTTCTTTCATCGCCTCACTCTACGGCCCCTCAAATTAGTGGCTCAGCTTCCACTTCAACCCAAATGATCGGTACAACAGCTGTGTGGGGAGAAATGCATTTGGGACGGATGCACTGACGCAGTCATGGAAGCATTATTGGAATGTTGGTAGCGCGGCATACAGAGTTGAGACGTTGGAAGTACCTCGATACATACCTCGATGCCCTGAACTGCATATCTTCCATTATGCCTCAGAGGTTGGCTACGGATACTTTGTTTATAAAGGTTACACGTGCTATAATTTGCTGATTGGCAAATCCCGTTAAAGCCTGCTATCACACTGCGACTCTAATTGAAAGCTGCTATCTTGTCCGTAACGCTAAAGCAGCGCGTCCTGAGGGAACTGAATTTGAAAATAGATCACACTTATTTGTGAACCAGTTCTATGATTGTGCTGTATTATGTCTATAAGAGAAAGCCCAAAAATAAAACTTTCGTCTACAGTAGGCTAGGTTTCATTTATGAGAATACCGAAGTATCCCAGTAGAGGTATGTGCCAATGCAAGACATTTCAGGAGATCACGCAACGAGTCGCTGGTAGCTGCATGGACGTTCTAGAGATTTAGTTAACCCAGCTTTTTTGCAAAGCCCAGAGAAAAGGTCATCTAAATTGAATGGTAACTACCTAGCCGCTGATATACCGGGCCTCAAAGTCAAGGGATCCAACGTTATGAACACTACTCTTTTGGAAGAATCAGCATTTGACAAATCGCTCTTCTGCCATTCCTCAAGGACAAGGTCGAGACAATCAATGGTATGGATGATTCTATTCAAATTGTATACCCGCGTAGAGTCGAACAAGGAAAAGAAGCTTGTACTCCCACTTAATGCTCTGCGAATTGATAAACTGAGAGCAACAGTACGTACGATGGCAAGCCTTCCAGCAGGTATATATATATTTCCCTCACCAGAAAATCACGTCCCGATGAGACTCAGAATTTACGTGAACTCCATCCACTACTTTATGAATGACTGATACACGTCGGAGGAAGGCCGTAAAATAGTGGTTTGTCCCAATCCCACAGACATCCCATCATACTTCCTTTTCGACACCCAGTGGCCATCGCTTGATTGTTCACTACCACGAGTCGCATGCTCTAGTTGTTATACGTCAGAAATTTTTGGATGTCAGAGGGGCAGCCTCAGTTAAAAGACTTGTGCCTAGTTTTTTGTCATGTGAGGCAAAGTCGGTAAAGACAGCCTGTAGTGTTAAACCTATTTACGTTTTTGCAGAAACCTTTGTGGATTATTTCGGTTCCATTTTTGGACGCGACGGATGACACTCGAGCCGTGCATTTTTCCTGTTTGAAGACTCGTACACTTCACATCGAGGCAGCTCACTCCTTATTGACTGACCCCTCTCTTATGGCATCTTCCAGTTCTGGATTCTCGAATTGGAGACTTCCGCGAAAATTCAAGTCGCGGACAGTGGGAGAGAGTGGAGGCCAAGAATGGATGTGATAGCCATCTTCGAGGAGTGCTAGTAAATGCTGCCTTGGTTAAGGTAAGGCGTGATATGCGTCACGTCTGCTTGCTGGAAAGAGTAGCAGATAAGTAGTTACTCACCACCCGGGGCGTATGTTGCGGTTGCGAGAGACGTCTGTGACTAGAGCAGTCATATCATTCACTTTCATCTCATTTCTGAATGCGGTGGACTGAATTTGTTGATCAGAGAAAGCCATGCTGGCTTTGAGGGCGATGGTGACTTTTTTTCTGTTCTCATTGTGTGCAACGTCATTCCCCGTTTTGTAGTTTCTTGTTTGTGCATATATCGCCGATCTTGTTTTTGTCAAAATGCGAACCACTCTTTGACCTTTCCATCCAACGTCTTGTCTAAACCAGCACGTGGGTTCCGCTGTCTTGTGACCACCTCGTCTTGAAAGGATGGAAACCTTGGGATCCCGTTTGGAATTGGAAGTTCCTAAACCGATGTATAAAAAACGGCGTCATCTTACGAATTACGGTTTGTACGATTTTATTACTTTATTATTGTATTCAGTGTACCGCATTTGTTGATAAATATCCATTTGAACTATTTGACTTCTGGAGTTTTGCACGTGGCTCAAGGTGGGCCAGCTGATTTCTGGAAACAATCAATACTTCCAGCGCACGCACTCATAGCCAGTTCCTTCAAATGTTGCCATAGGAAGATATCCGATTCAAACATATCTTCACAATATACGGTGTAGATTTGCCACTTTTCAAAATGTTCGGTTCCGTAATTTTTTTTAAAACATCGTTAACATTTGCGCGCCTGGTGCTTTTGTCGATAAAATCTGACAAACGGAGTCCCTTGATGGGTTCAGCATCAAGTCCATTTGAATATGAATTCTTTGATTCACATCAGTGGCATTTCTTGTTTCTAGAATGCAATGGTGTTGGTGTGTGCGTAAACTGAGCTGTTTCAGTTTGGAAGCCTGGTGATCTTGGCTGATACAGTACAGGTCATGTGATTTCTGTAGGGTGCATTATTTGCTATTTGAAATTGAAGGGTAGAGTATGTTGCCTGAATCATTTGAGTGGCATGAAAATGACGCATTCAGTGCTGCCATAGAGTGCGTGTTGAACCCACATATATTCTGTTACAGTAGTAGTCCAGATGCATTTGGTGAATCTTACTATGTCAGATCGGCAAGTGGGTAGTAATTCATTCTTCCGACGTACGGAACACGTGAGACAGTGGGCGTCTTTCTCATTCCTGTTTCTATCTAGACCCCGGAAAGGACGCCTTCGCGGAGCACATCATCTCGACCAAGCATATCAATATCATCAAGTTCTTGTCAAAGCGCTCCTATTGAACTGTTGGAAACAAGGAGTTTTGTAAGACACCCGATTCGGATACCACAATCTTTTCTCAGGCTACGCAAACTCAAAACACTCGAGATAATCGTTGTCAGACAGATTTACCGGTTTCTCGGCCTCTGGTGATCCACCGAACCCATGTGAGTCATCAGGCTCTGAATTTTGCATGCTGATGTCTGCCTTTAGTCTGTACAAGTGAATCTGGAGCCCGTGATCGACCCAGAAGAGGACGCCCGTCTGCAACTTTTATGTAAGTATGATGTTATATGCCTTTAGGTCTCTGATTTATTTCAGTAAGCAGTTTATATTGACTGATCATCTCATTAGGTTAACAGACCGGTCCAGTCTATGCGCTTGCTTAATCCGGGTTGAAGTTTATTTCTGAAATATGCTTTAGGGGGTCAGCTAATAGTAAACACTTTATTTGTGTACCAGATTTAGGTCACATCCGCAATATTACAAAATTCAGCGATAAAGCATTCTTAGGCACCCAGTGTGAAGAAGTTATGAATAGAATAAACTATCTTGATGTCTAGATCCCCAGCTTATAACAGTGGAGGTCTGTGGATGTTCAAGCACAAGTTTAAGCCCTATGTTTTATTTTTTACTGACGTTTCTTGTAGCGCTTTTTATCCCCATTCTGCATCACAAACCTACCTATTTATACCGTCAGCAAAGTCAAAAGCCTCTACACAAAATTCAGTATACTTTTCGAAACACCTGATGCTAGAAATTATGTTATGAGATTGGGATTAAAATTGTCATGTAATCAATCTGGCTTTGTACATGGTAATCCACCCGTTCGAATAGCTTCCTCTATTGAATTCTTTGATACTACGGCCGTTGTAGCTATGGGTGACAGCCACATGCATTGTGCTATTCGTTCATGCACCGTGAGATCAAGTCTCAGACATAATCCATTTCGTAAAATCAAGAGGAGTACTGTGTTCCTTTGAGGGTAATTAATACGTGAATAGAAATGGTGGATTACGCTTGGGGAACATCAAGGCAACACAGTTAATAAGCACCTATATGAATGAAACTGCCTTCCAGTTATTGCACTAGTGGGTGGTGGTTAGCTATGAAACGAAAAGAAAGGAGATATATATCTAGAAGTAATTTTTTGTGTAACAATTACACTCTATGTACTAGACTCTAAGTCACAACCATCGCCAATTACTACCATGGTAAAAATCCGAGCTTTTCCACGAAGGTCCTTGGCTGTATGCTCCTTGGAAAATGCGAGCTTTCAGATACCCTTCAACCTAGCGATTGCTTTGGTAATCCATACTTTTTCACTAATGATCCGCGTTATACGTAAACGAATGTTATCAAAGAAAAGCGGCAACGCAACAGCAGCTAAATAACCGAATACTTTAAAGCCATAAATGGTTTGAGCCTAACCAGATATGGTGCCACTTCAAGGTAACTGAGGCCGACATAAGCTCAGTATGGTAAGTGCGGTGTGCAGACACATGTGTCATTCGACTGCCGCACACCTGCCTAGATTCGATCAACAGAACTAACTACATCACAACGTACAGCTATTACCCATCAATTCTTTCCTTACATAAACTATGTCAGAGAAGCTTTTTGGAAGCCATATTTAGGTTAGAATGCACACCCAACTAATAGCGCCAACAGAAATTAATCAATAGAGTATGACTACACAGTTTAGTATGTGTTGGTAAGAAATGGGGACAGAATTACCCCAGACAACTCATCTGTGCTGCAGTGGTGGATACGGTAATGGACTGCAAGACCGACTACACTAATGTGTGTCATATAGACCATTTAGTTGTTGTTATGCTCTATACGGCAAGATCTCTTTGAAGGATTTGCCTGCATCCCAACAATGAGGCAAACCGCATCTCGTAGCTTTTCAATCCTGCGCAAGTAGACGTTCGCCTAATGTTACAGCTATGAGGCTTTCCAATCTATGATAAAAAGGTTACAGTGAGTAATAAGGCAGGTGAAGATGCGGTCCAAGCCTATCTGAGGGACCTCAAAAAGAATAAAATCTCTACTGAGCTGTCCGAGGTTTTCACTGACCTTAAGGGTAGTAGTAGTATTTCAAACACAGCGGAAGGCTGTCAAAATAGGCGAGTTTTGACTGCTCGCTTGTATAACCGCATGTGAGTTTCCTCGAGATTTGTTTAGCGACTATGTGTTTAAAGTTCCTATGTGGTGCGCCTCGCAGCTCACTCCGCTCGTTGGTCTTGTCTTGTTGTAGACCTTCAGTGTCCAAAATTTCATCTGACCAAAAAGTCCAGAGAAATTTAGACAAGCACTACCCGTGAAATCTGCCAAGCATTCTAATACACCATTGGCAAAACTGTCATATGGTCTTTAACACATTAAGCAACTCAGTACACTGTGCATTGCAGGTTAAGCATGTACTGTGTTTGTTTTAAGCTATTGTATTCAAGCAACCAAAATCAATACCTGTATTTAGAGTTTAAGAACATGTTTCGGTGTCGATTTTCTGGTCCGTAGACAATTTTTTGCGATCTAGCAGACGTCAGTTCATGCTCTCTGTTCACTTGGGCACATACCCAACCGCATCAAACAGCAAAACTGTACATCCATCACCATTCTGATAAGTTAACAAGCTGGCTGTTTTCCGTGAACCGTTCTAATATTGTTAAGCCTAAGGGAACGAAGTTTTTTGTCAGTATTGGCCTTTAATCAGTTAGCAGTTGATCCATTAGCCGAGCTTGGCAGATGACTTGCCAACGTTTCGTCGTTACGCGGGGAGACGTCGTCAGTTCGCCGTTAGATGGGTCTCTTCGCATGGTGACGAAACGTTTGCAATTGAACCGCCAAGCTCGGCAAACAGATCAACTTCCAGCCAACTCCTCACTCAAGTATTCCATATTTGGACAAATAGCCTTTCAGTCAGTATATCCTGCAGTTTTATTGCGTAATTTATTCTCGACCATCACAACATTGCCGATCTATGCAAATATGTACGCAATCCACTTCTCAAAATGCTCTTACCCTCAAGGCCGTTTATAGTAGCAATCTTTCTGGAAACGCTATACAATAAGGGAGGGCTAACGATTTTTAGCCCTAAAGCCACAACCAATCTTCAAGTTGCTTGGCTTGGCATGAGCACACGAAACAATTAGATATGGTTCTGCCGAATTATGTGGAGAAAAGGTGATAATAATGACTGTGTTATAAACGGAACTATAGCTGTTTTGCATCAATACTTCAGTGACCCCCTGGATAGTGTTCATTTCAGGAAGAATTCTGCCGAATGAGCAAGTAAATAGGTCGACTGCATTTGTCTTAAACAATCGCTTTTCCCGGTATCATTTTCAATTCTGGCTCAGCTTCCCTTTCCGATTGTACTGGGTGAAATTCGTCCCACACACTTCCAGTGCACCTGGGGAAAAACCAGGGAACAACTTTCGAAACTAGTCAATTCATTCACGCTCAAATTCGTAAGAATTAGACAGCATTTCCTCAATGTTATTCTCTCACTACGAGAATGTCGTTGCACATGTTGTATGTCCAATTTTTCAATATTGTATATGTCCCCAAGGTGTGTCCAATATATTTACCTCGGCTTAACAAGAAAGCAAGATCGACAGACATTTTCACAATACTATACAAGTAGAACCATCTTCCATTATATTGTCCTTACACCAGAAGGTGCATCTTCTATAGACATGCCTAGTGGGCTAGATGAGTGCTGAATACATTAGATGCACATTTGATGCGATACCTGAATGCAAGTGTTATGGTCCGACATTTTTCAACTCAGCTTACAAATGGATTACGAAAGCCCCAACATAAGCAAAAAACCCCAATTTCTGAAAGAACACTGCTTGTTAGGTTGCTGAATCATCTTTGACGGTCCATCATCCGTTTCGCGATTCCTTGAGTCCTTCAGGTGGGCGTATTTCTCGAGTTTTCGTCAATCTCGTGTTTTGTTTAGACCCAGACTGTACGAACTTTACAATATTCTCTCAATTGCACTTGATGGAAAAAGAGGTCACTGTATACATCACCTTCATCATATTAAAGAATATAACAGGCAAGAGACTCAGCTGGGATTTAGTTGAGTCTCCTGTTTGCATAAACTGTTGTGCGTTTTGTAAACCCCCTGTAGATGCTTGCTCACATCCGTTTTAACCTGCGTGGTTAAGCTCTAAAATTACACTGAATCATCCACGCATTCCCGTTTGCATCGTTTCAACCAAGGTAATGCTTTTGATACACTGCGGTTGGTCACTTCTCCACATAACCAGGTGTCTTAAATTCCCTCGAGTAGCATTGCAAGCACTCACTACCGTCAACCAAACTACGTGACTCCCTATTCCAGCACAGGTTTCTCTCAGCAAATAAGACTTCTAGTTTTAAAATAGACGCAAGGTGCGTCAAACAGTCGCCTCGTAATCCTCACAAAATGTAAACCGTTCAGCTGCGGTTTCTGTTATAACCTTGGGATTTTCTCCGTTTGGGAAACTTGCACCCAGTCTTTTCTGGAATATTTAAACCAATCCTTCACTTAAACTTTGGCTGACTCGTCTTACACAGCAAGCTACTTTCCTGTTTCTTGCAACAAACACACTGTGAAAGGCAGGTCTTTTCGGTACTTCGGAATAGCCCTACTCACTCAGGTTTCAGTGATCTCACGCTGGCTGCATGAAAACCAGTTGTCTATCCCTTCATTACCATAATCTTATTAGCTTCCCTGAGCTTTTAGGACATCTCTTTTGAGCTTTTTGAGACATGACCCACCAGACGGTCGCCGGAAGCTAGATAAGGGGCAACCTTGGTCGCGGTATAAGGGTCCCAACTACGGGTGGGAAAAATGACGAACGACCTCAACCTCTAAGTAAACTTGGATGAACGTATAACATCGTCGTCATCGTCATTTCTTTAGACAACGTCACTGTCTCACCGCAACACAATTTGGGAGTGTTGGTAAACTCTATTGGCTGTGGTAATTTGCCGTCAATGCGTGGATCAGAATCCTTCCGAAAAACCTCAACGGTGACCATGGAGGTATCGAATTGCTACAGATTAACTTGCTTTCAATGGCTCACTACATGAGAAACCAAGCCCCGTGATTGTCTCACTGCAAGCTGGAACCTACATAGCAAACACTTTAGTACCACAGGTAAGAGGCCAGGACACTTTCGGAGGCACCCCTGTTGATTATATAAAAAGTTTCGGGGCATGGCTCTTGTTCTAGAATTCTCCAAGCTATACTCCGCAGCGAAATCACATATGTATTACTTATGTTTTGCTAGTAGCGAGATAATTTCGAAGCTCCTATTCGTGCGACTTGTCAGTCAATCTGCAGAGTACGATTTTAATGGAAACAGGTATCATGTTATCAACAGCATCATAGCCCCAGCAACCAAACAAAAAAGCATCATATTCGAAATCCTGTGCTGTGAACTGAACCCTATGGCCCAGATTTTTGCCCGAAGTTGGCGGTCAATTTTATACCTTCTTCTTGAAGAAGCAAACCACGGTGCCTCAATGTCCTTGACGAAAAGTGATATGATTTGGATGCAAAAAACAAACAGGGCTTGATGAAATGCTCGTGCCCTTGGGTTATAAAGCACAGAAGGTAGGTAACTAGCTTATTGTCATGACTCTCATGATTCTGTTTAGCCAAAGGACACATGTAGGACCAAGTGCTCCGCACTCAAAGCGAATTCCATGGTAAGTTTCATCCGATAACGGTATCCTCCGAAGGGCCACTGTTCAAAATCTCCGATTTCTGGGCACAGTATGTCACGGTCCAAGTTATACAACAAGTTGGCTTATCCCAAACTGGAGACAGTCACGTTAAATTAAACAGAATATTTCCAAGCAGTCAGTTCTACAGCTAAACAACGAGTTATAGCGAATCTTTTGAGTGTCACCTCATTGCAATGTCAGCTGCATCCAGTGAAACATTGATGAAATGGTCGCAGATGTGAAAGTTGAAATTTCGGCACAAACGAGTGATAGAAAACTCTCTTTATGATCAGACGAGTTACGTTTATAAGATAACTCTACTCGACTGTTGGCGTATGTACTTTATTTCAAGGGTAAATTCAGCTTAAGAGAAAATATACGCTCTATCAGCACTCAAGGTCTCACATCCGTGGAATGACATCTTACTAAAATTATTGTTTGTATGCCGATTGAGACTCTTCTGGTGATTGATAGGTGCCAGAAATTCGGCTTTAACGTGCAGAGTGAAATTCATTGGGTTTTGCGTGTCTTACAAAAATTTTCCGCAGTGTAAACACCTATCTGAATTATCACTGAAATGGAAAATTAACTCAGACATAATTTTTCGACTTCATGAAGAGAATGATAAGCTGCATTTTGTTAGTTTACTTTAAATTAAAATTATCCAACTATCCACAGACAGTCTGAGCTCAGAAGCTCTGCAAAGCTTGTGGATTTCAGAATTGTTCATATTCATACTGAGATGTTGCAAGTCAGTTATCAATCTCCCTCTACAAAATATGGTCGCACCCAAAGATGATGGACGAAAAGATGAAAGGAAGTAGGTTCGCTCTCTCCTCTCACTCCGGCTTTAATGTCCGCATGTAGCTTTGAGTCCCAGCAGTCATTTGGACAATCTATTTGGCCATTTCAATTCGATCGCTGAAGCTGGGTTTCTTCACCTGTATATCTTCTGGGTGCCCGCGTTCTACGCTTGTCGTTTCTTCTTTTTCGAATGTGCGTGCCCGTGTAGAGGCGCAACTTTACAACATTTTGTGTGCTATATTACACCTGAAAGCTGCGTATATTAAGTTGGAAACAATCGCAATCTTGAGTGATCAGGTGAGCGTTTAGGTTGCCACCAGGGTTTCGATAACACACATGGAAGTGTAGTGGTCATGCCTGACTGAGTACAACAGAGGACCCAACCATTGGCTTACGATTCGCTGGGACAATTGAGGTTCTGGCACGTGTAACGAAATGAGAGGGATGGTGATAGATATTTGCATTTATCACCTCCACCAAAAGCCTTACGTAGCGAGTCCGAGAATTCAAAAACGCACCAGTGACTTTTACCAACAAAAGTGATCGGCTTCGATACCACACCATAAGATAGTAATCCTATCGATTCAGTGATCTCACTGGGCAACTCATGATAAGTCCAACACAGTTTAGTACAGCCTTCAACTCCATAGTAAAGGGCTAAAACACAGTTAGCTGCTAAGGCAGCGATTATCCAACTCAATTTAGCAGAAGTTGGCTCCATCATGGTGGCCAGCCTTTTGATACGGCAAAAAATCGGTTGGATAGCAACAGTCCTTGGGACCTTACTCATTTCAAGTTCAAGACTGGTATTTTGCAGAAACACATCAGGCTCAATGCTCTAATAATTATTATACACCGTGCAACAGGGATGGAAGCATTTTTTGTATCCTCTCCTTCTTTGCTCTTTGGTTTTAGTGAGTTGTCATGCCCACAATACTCAAGCCAGTCTGAAGGAGCTTATGTTTATTTACTCTATGCTTTAAGAGGTAAAAACCTCTTGTTAGGAGGCGGTCTTGTCCTTTTTCGTTGGGAAAGGGTGTAAATGTGATACAAGTTGAAATTTGGAGTAACGGAATGAGTGAGTTCAATTGGCACATGCCCAAAGCAGTTGATAAACAATAAGCTCCATACCCTCTAGGTGTTGAACTGGTGTTCCCTATTCTGTACAATAACGGGTCGATGTTGCGAAATCGATTGTGTGAACAAGCGTTTCCAACAGAACTGTCAGATTTAGTGAACAGCTCAGTCGTCACTGAGAGAGCTTGAGCTGCTGACTGATGAATTATACTTAGCCAGAAATTCCCACTTGAAAGTTACACAACTAGTAGAAGTGCTTGACATTAGTGCACTTAGAAAAATCACGGGACTATGTGTCATAAATGGTTAGAATGCATCAGTGGATTTCCTGATGAAGTGTCTTTTTCGGCCAAGTGAACATGCCATAGACAAATGAGCTCACTGTCAGTTTAAGTGTTTACCAAGTTCTTGTTGAATAGTATGGGCAAATACGTGGTGGAAAACTTGTCAAAAACTTGTAAAGAATTGCATCAGGATTGGAACCTCATTTTTCGAGTCCAGAGAACCTCGGATTACAAATACCGTTGGTCGTTCACCACAAGTTTTGTAGATCAGAATATTCGCATGAGTCTTGCAGTAATTGAGGGAGGATAGGCCATTTATTTCCGATTGGTTTCTCTCTTACGACTTATGGTAGTAACAGCACGAATGGTTATTACGTTGGTTAGGTAACGGTTGTACTCAAACGGACAAGCACTGCGCCCTTTTCCAAGCATGCCAACGCTCAAAGCTATTTTTAACTCCCAGTCGCCAGTATTATGTCAGCTAGATATTGTTGATCCATTGAAATCACCTAAATTAGTAATCGATAAAATGGAGTGGAGCCATACCAAGGCATTTCGCCCAACAAAAAATGATTGGCTGTCTATACTAGATAGAAGACGTAGATAGTTTTCAAAAGTTGGCAATTTTATGGTAACTGTTGAGGTCATTCAAAGCAAACCAGTTCAGATACGTAGATCAATTACCGGCTGACTAGATAAAGACTTGCGTCCAGTAAGAGAAAACGCAACTACCGCCTGATAAGTTAGAGCCGATTAAGAACATTCCATGGTTCTGAGTGAGATAAGCTGTATGCGGTGCGAAGCAGTAGGCCGTCCCCTATTTTATCCCAAATACTGCCAACATATTAGTTCATTCAGCTCCACAAAATGGGCGTAACAATTTCTCCACCTTGGTGGCTTCAGTGACAGTCTCACTCCCTGTTGTATAGGTTTTCGCGTTTTTGTCTCCCATAGATCCTACGGGCTAATTTTTTAAGGAAGGAACCTTCTTTGTTTCTGACCACTATGTTAAAGTCATTGGTACGCTTTGGTTTCAGATCAACTACAGCAGGAACTGATGGAGTACTTACCGCTGAAGATGCTTACACAGGAAGAGGCCAGCAAATATCACGAATGCATAATCTGTTTGGATGAATATCGTGCTGCCGATGTGACAATGACTTTGCCGTGCTTTCATCTACTTCACGAGCGGTGTGCAAGAAACTGGTTTCAGGCAGTGAGTTTTTTCTTCTGTGTGTGATAAAAACAAAACGAATTAGTTTGGTTAGCACATGTAATGACTGATTAGTATCGACACGTAACGCAAGCTCGTGGATTTCCACAAGTCAATCAACCGCTACAGTGTTTGATAAGCTACAAACCTCCTTAAACCAGTATCTTTCGTAATGTAGGTAAAACTTTGTTTACTTCATGTTTGTTTGTCTGCTTGTTTTACAAAATACTTATCGAAAACGCACTGTTCCGACGAGCACCCTTTTTGCGTTCAGCACTGTGTACATTAGGTGAGAACAAGGTCTAAATTTTCTGCGGGAATGATGTGGAAACAGAGTGTACGAGTTAGATAACGTTGATCAGAGACTAAGAAAAATCTACAGTCTATGAGTTTTCTCAAACCAGTGATGGACTGGTTGGATGAACATATCCAAGTTTTTATCTAAAGGCTTAGTAATACACATGTCCAGTTTTGTGTTCAACCCAGAAGTAAGATTGACGGGCTTCTGAGATTACGCCAACCTGATAAATCCCAGACAGGGCAAAACCGATAGTAGATTGCTGACAAGTTTCCATAAATCCTATACTAAAAATATATTATCAAGAGGCTACCTTCCGTTTTTAAATAATAAAACTAACCAGCCTCCCACTACAAATGAGGAAGTGAACACAGAACAGAGTCAAATACAATCGGACTTCAGTGACGTAGCCGTCCGCGGAATATTGATAGGTTACCAATTGACATGGATACTCAACTTGGACGCCGTAAGTAGCGCCATTTTTGTGTTACTCAGGAAGAATTGCGAAAAACACTACGAAGGTCTTGTTGAATCAAATTTGAACGATTTTGTGGTATTCTCCAGAGGATTAACAAAGGAAAGTCGCTAACCCTCACGTGACGATCAATACTAACACGTGCGTTAACTTTCATCTTAAATCCATGAGGAAGCACAACCCATACATGTTGGTTAAATGAGCCGGTTTCATGTCTATTCTACACGTGATCCCCTATTTATCTTAGCTTCATTTTGGACTAAAAAACAAGTGTGCGTTCCCAGCTCTATGGAATGAGTCCCTGCTGTATGCGTCAGCAGAACCCGAAGAACCTCGAAGCGTGATCACCAGATCGTAAACCCTACTCAGTCTGTTGATTTGACAGCTATGTTACCATTATAAAATATCGTGAAAGGTTCTGTATTGTTGTTCATCATCATCCATCTTTCGACAATGGATAGAATTGTTCGATCGATAGAACTGTTTTATGTGAAGAAACATTGTTTATTATCCCACAATTTCAGTTACATACTACCAGTTTACTGCATTCAGGCGGTTAACGACAATCAACATCAACATGTTTTATTTGACCATACCTTTAGTTTTTTAACGAAAACAAGCGCATTTTGAAGCCAACTTCCTAAAACACTGCCTGCGGTTTGTGGCATTTTGGTGTTGAGAAATGTAATCAATCTATCAGAAGATAACCATGGGGTAAAACTCGAAGCTAATGTTCTCACCTTATCTGACAAATTTATTACGACGAATTAGGCAGTTAGCGCTTAAGTCGGCTAGCTTTGGGAGAATTGAGGGAGCAGAACAAAAACGACATAGAAAATGTCAAGGTGATTCAAGCATGCAACGCATGATTTGTTTATCGCTAGTGTTTGTCACGTCATGCTGTTTTGGTCACAATTGGTCTTCATCGACAGACAGTTCGAATTCGGAAATCTAGGAGGTCTAACTAAGCTGCCTCAGCCCAAAATAAATGCAAACCAAGTGATATAGTCCTGCGGGGAACTGGATCATCAGATTGAATCAGGATGAATGCGAAAAAGAAAACACCGTTCATGAAAATTCCAGACAGGTTGAAACACTTGCTTCTTCGTACAGGAGACCAGGTTGATAAGGCTGGCAGCGTCTTCTAAATGCTCAATTTATTTAGTGCAGCTGTCTATGATCATGAATCAACTAGCTTATATTTTAACCACTTCTACGTTCACCCGTAAGGTCGTGATGATAAATTCACTAGATTTGTGCACTTTAACAGACTCTCAAAGGGCACTATCTCATCGTCTGGGTAAGGTAAGACCAAGGTTAGTAATGAGATTACTTGTATGATCAACAAACGACCACGGCTTGACTCGATTTAAAGTAATGCTGACCTAACATCGCGTTGCTAAAGTACAAAGCTTAGTGCGAAATCAAGAGAATAGATTATATTGTCCACACAGCATTCTCCAAAGCTGCAAAAACTCTAGAGAAAATTCAAAGGTTCTATAAATGACGGCACAGTCACGAAATGAGATCAAGTGCACAAGGTTCCCACAAGTTAGACAGAGGTATCCCGCAGGACGATAATAAGATTCAGCGATCGTGTGACAACATAAAGTTTATGGAATTACGGGATCGAACAATTCAACCTCTGATAAATATCATCATCATCATCATCATCA